CACATTATTGGGATTAGTTCAAAATGTGTTTTCGTTATTAAATAACGAAATTATTTCTATTCATTAAGAAATTGATAACGAGAGAGAAGAAAAATAGTGATGAGAATAGGGATGTAGTAAGAGAAGATAAAAAATAAAAATAATAGACAGCGAATGTGAGAGCACGTTATTGAAATTGTAAGGTTTGCTCTTGATAAAATAAGAAAAGCATCAAACGACATTTTATCTTGGCAATTACGTTATTATTAAAATATCACCCAAAACAACGATATAGACTTTAATATTCAACAAATTTTCTTTCTTTACATGTAAAGATACGTAAAATATTAGAATATAAAAGTTTTATATATTAATTTGTGTATAAAATTATTAAATTAGCTAAAAATCATTATTAGCATAAAATCATTTTAAATTAGCTAAAAAATTCACACCGAGTGAATCGAGAACGAGGAAATCATCTAGAATTGTTGTCTACGTTTGATCGAGCAAAAACGTCTTGGAGTGCAAAGGGTTAAACATTGGAAGAGGTTTATTCGCATTACAAGGCGATATTTCTAATCTCTGATTAAGAAAATTGCAGAAGATGTCTCATTTGTTTTCTAACGATGTGACTCAACTCTCGTAATTCTGTGTTCTGTTCTTTGCCCGATTTTACGATTTTCTTATCGTCCTTCCCCCTATTTTCACCATTCGTTTTCTCTCAAGAAATTTAACGCTTTTAATCTCGGAAAATCGGTTTGATAAAGCGGCGAGGTCGGCGCATCTCGAGCGATTTAATAAGGCACGCGTGTGTAAAGTTTTACGCGCGGTATTTTGCCTGCGTGAGAAAAGGACGTTGCATAATGCATTGCGAAGAATGACTGTTGCATAAGCTCGAGGCATGGCAATATGCGGAAGCGGGGCGGACGTTAACACCTGTTTCCATCGAGTTATTAAAGGATTTAAATAATGCAGTGTGCACTGATAGAAACAACGATCGATCATCGGAACAATTCATTTTTATCGCGTCGTAATATCACGAAATGTTGCCGTGAAATTGAATTATATTAGAATTATAATTATAATTTAACAACAACAACAGCCTCGACATTTTTACGTACGTCCATCTTCTCAATATATTGGAGAATTGGAGATTTTTTTTTTAATTCTTCTTTTTCCTTTATTTATCGCAAATTATTCGAATATTAAAAAGGAGAGGATGATCGAAGAGAAAAAGTTTTAAGAAACAACGTTAGAATTGGTTCGAGGAAGGAATGTAAACTGATTTAAATTCAATTTTAATAGTTCGATTTTGCGCGTTTAATTGCGCGTCGAACGTTCACAAAGGGCAACGTTCTCTAGGACTCGTAATTAGCACCGACCGTTCCTCGCTGATCGATATTATCGATTGATATCGTATCCTATGCACAATGCAATTATTGAATATGTTAATTGATTCTAACTGTAATCGATCGGCTCGAAATACGGGAGCTCCGTCTCGTCAACTAATTTTAATTCGTCGAGGATTAGAATTTCGTTGATCAAATGGAAATTTGTTTTATCGTTGAAAATCGTTAATCCTCTTTACATTATTATTCTTCTAGCATTCTTCTGAATTTAATTTTTCTCCAATCGTCTAATAAATTGATTTTCAGGGACCAAAGAACGCGACAAAATATTATATCGCTTGCCAAGCACCAATGGAGTCGACTGTCACCGACTTTTGGAGGATGATATGGGAACAGCAGAGCAAAGTGATTATCATGCTTACCGATCTCGTTGAAAATGGGGTGGAAAAGTGTACGGAGTACATTCCGCCCTCGGAAATCACGGATTGCCGTCGGTTATACGGCGATTTTCAAGTTACTCTGAAGAAGAGGGAAACCAAAGAAAAATATGCCATTTCCACGCTTCATTTGAACGTAAGCGATAACGCACAATAGAAAAAACTTTTTTAGAAAAAGTTATTATATTACTCTGTGACAAAAGTATATATAAAAGTGTTGATATGCCCGAATGATAAAAACATTTATGACACCGACAATTTTATCCAATAATAAAATTAGTTTCAATTTGAAACACGCATTAAATCCACGCATCGCCAATTTCTCTTCGATCCTAACGCTCTTGTTGTAACACTCCTCCCCCCTCTCTCTTCCCTGCTTTAAAACCCAGTTACGCTATAACTCACTTTAACTCACGTTAAATCACTTCTTCGCTCAACTATCCTAACACGATGTAGCCTCATCAACCGGTAGAGCCCAGCCGTCATTATCGCGCAATCGACCATTTAAAGAACCAGTCGCGTCACTGGAACCAAACGCGACCGATAAAAATTTCAATTATAGATAATTATGATCGATGCAACGATGTTAACACGAATTGAATTCGAATTCTTTACACAATTATTTTTCAACGAGTCCAGAATTAAAAAAAGTAGAAAATAATAATAAGTATTCGAATCAAAGATCGAATCTTTGGTGATTCGATTTCGATTTAAATATTAATATAAAATATTGATAACCGATCGAAACGATGATTATTTACAGAATTTGGAGAAGAACACGTTCCGAGAGGTATACCACATTTGGTATTTGTGGCCCGTGAACGGAGTGCAATCGGACGGTGCCGGGTTGATAGCCGTGCTACTCGAGGCGAGGGCACTTCAAAGGGGTGGCCCTGGACCCATTGTAGTCCACTGTAGTCCCGGCACTGGACGCACGGGAACGTTAATAGCTCTTGACCTAGGAATTAGACAATATGAGATTACGAGGACTGTGGACGTGCCAAGGGTCGTTTACACTATCAGACGGGATCGTGCTGGGGCTGTCAAGACGAAAGAACAATACGCTTTCATTTACAAGGTAATTTACTTTTTAACTTGCCCTGCCGTTTCCTTTCGAATCGTTGATTTCATTTATTCGTTTCGATTGGTGCATTGTGCATTGGGTTTGAGAGAATGGAGTCGCGAGAGTGCGTGATTCTGATTTATCGAACGAGCAATAGGAATGGAAGGATTTTTTCTTATTTAAGTTATCTAATCGTTATATACATATATTTGTATCCTTTGTTTTTTTTTTTAAATTATCCAGGAAAAGTGTGAAATATTTATATTTATAAAGATATTGAACGAAAATTTCTCATTTTCTTTTCTTCTTTTTTTTTTTTTCAGGCATTAAATTTATACGCGACCAAACTTGCCGGCGGTGTATTGGAATCTACGTGAACCACTCGAGAAGAAATTACCATTCGTTCGAATCGTAATAGAGATGTAAGTCATGGCAGAGAACTGCTATATCCGTGAACGATAAATATCATTGAAGACGATGGAAAAATCGCGAGATTATAAGAATGAATGAAGTTCCAGTTTTACCTGAACGGGAAGATATGGTAAATTGAACGAAGGAAATTGACTTGTGATACGTGGACCATAGCGAAGATCGTGTTTCGCTTTAGATTTTTGCTTAGTCCTTTCGACGTAAGACGATTTCACCCTAGTAAATTTAAAAAAACACTCTTTACCATCTGTTTGTCTATTCTTCTCGGTTGATAATACAGTATTTTCTTTTTTTTTTAAAGTATCGTCGTTGAATAAAATAAAATTTTTTAAAATTTTTTTGTAAAATAATATTTATCATAATTTATGTAATAGGACAATTTATACAAGTGATATTTATAATTAAGATTTAAAAGAAACGTTTTAAAATTATAAATAATACGAAATTATAATAATAAAATAACATATGAAATAATATGAAACAATAATTCAAATTGAAACAATATAAAATTCTGAAAATATCAATTTATACAATTTTGTACTTTAATAATTATACATATTTATTAATTTATCTGCAAGAATTAGTGGTAAAATATGCTAAAATTAGTAAATCAAGATTCAAGTTCAAATTAAAGTGTCATACGAGCCAAAAATATAAACTGAGCGTTAAATATGTATTTAAAAGAGCAAATATTAAAAAGATTACTTTATTCTAAATATTTAATTGAGAGAGAAAGACAAATAAGATGGTAACATGTTGGATAATGAATAATTGAGAGGCGGGAATTAATTTGTGATATCCGGACCATCCGATATATTCAACTTTGTATTTCTTAGGCCTATTCGATTTCATAAAACTTTTTTTTTATCATAAATTTCGTCTCCTTTTTGTCAATTTTAATATATATATATAAATGAAAGAATAATTAGATGTAGTTGAATATTTAAAAATAAGATCATGAATATGTCAGTCATGTGCGAAAGGATTTATTCTTTTCAACCAAACAAGTATATAGCGACAATGAACATTTTGAACGGGCAAAACGAACCGTGATGCTTTGTAAAAGAAAAAGAGAAACAAAAATGAAAAAAAAGAAACAAAATAGTAACATTCCTTCGAGAATTCACTTACGTGTATTTAGCGTCGTTTTTAATCATGTAAAAAGGAATAATATACAAATAATATGTATTAATTATTAATTTAGAATTACAATTATTTACAAATGTTACATCTCTAAGATTCTAGAAAGATTTCAAGATCGATTTCATCTCTCTTTCTCTTTTCTTCTCCCGAACAATTTATAGATACATATTATACATAATATATATATATA